GCCACGTGGTCACCTCCGGGGCAGGCGGGAATCGAACTCATGCAGAAGTGGCTTTAGCTTCTCAGTGCTGTGCTTTAACCTGCTGTGCCTCCAGGGAGGGCCTCATCTATTCTAGTTTTAAGGCTTTTTCCAGAATTTTTTAGTTACTCCATTGAACTTTTAACATTCTCCTGTTCCTTTATTTTCTTATTTAATGTTTCCATCTTGTTCTTGTGTTTGTTATATGGTTCTCATTGCATTATGTTGCTTTTATTTTTGCTTCTTCTGGCTTTTTAATTAAGAGGATTCTGAATTCTTTATCTAACCAGCAGAAAAATTCTTCCATGTCAGTGGGTTCTGGAAGCTGATTTTCTTTCTGTGGTTTATTGTTCCCAGGAGGGCTGGCTTGAGCACTTGTATTTTTCTGTCTCACAATTATTTGCTTCATTTTTGTTCTGGGCATAGAGCCATGTGGCCACTGGTGCCTGCTGGCATGATTTCTGGGTACTTTTACCAGGGTGTGTATGGACCTACTTGGAGCTTTGACCTTTGTGGGTGGTGGTAGAGGCAGGGCTGGGTGCTCCTGTTGCTTTTCCCTTGGGTCCCACTTGTTGGACCTATTGTGATAGCCATTGGATGGTTTTTCTTGGGGCCTGTTCTCCTGTGGCATCTAGGTGGGTTTGGGAGGGCAGGGATTCCCATGGCACCCATCGACTAGACAGCTGTTGCTGGCAGGTGGAATGTCCCAGTAGTTTTACCTTGGCTGGATGGCTCTGAATACCTCCTGGGCTGTAGGTTCAGAGGCAAGGCTCCTGTAGCTTAAGCCAACCAGGTTCCTTGGAGTATCCAGAGGTCCTTGATGTAGTGCCCAACACAACAAGGCTCTGGCTATGGCCTTGTCCACTCTTGGGTGGAGCAGGCTAGATGGGACTAACTTCCTGGTGTAGCTGGTGACCGCTGCTGGTCCCTGATGCAGGGCATAGCAACTGTGAGACTCCACTTGTGGTCTGGTGTGCTTGGGGACATTGTCTGATTGAATGGTGTGGCCAGTATTTGGTCTTTTTAGTTACTCTGTTCATGAAGATATAGGAGCTTGTATTCTGGCCCTGTTCACTAGGTGGCGCCAGTGGGCTGAATGGGAAGTGCTGCCACCAGGGGTTTTCTCCAGAGTTGAGTTTTGGGTAAGTGGAGTGGGAAAGAAGAAGGGAAAAACAGTCTGTTGCTACTGTGGAACTGGCAGCTGGTGCTAAGGCCTAAGTTGCTCACCTAGAGGTATTTGAAAATTCCAGCTGTGGGATGGGGACCTGGGGTTTTCGGGCCGGGACCCAGTCTGTGCTAGATGATTTTGGCAGGATTTGGGCTGGGTTTTCCTTATGTTGGGGTATTCACGGAGAAAGGCTTTTTTTGGTTCTTTGGCATCTTGGAGAGTTGCTAGTATCAATAGCTGGTTTGAAGCTTCTGGGTTTTGCTAAGAGCTCAGTCAGTCTTTTGTTTTAATTGTTTTTAGGAGAGAAGTTGATCCCAGCCTCTATTATACCATGTGTGGGCAGGTCTCCAGAATGCTTGAGTTTCAGTGGTAGGAACCTGTACATTTGTCCCTGAAAGTCTATGTTAATTGCCTTTTGATCTTAGAGTTTGAACAGAGCTAAAATTACAAGGAGAATTCCAAATTTACTAAATAAAGTCATGTTTTTAGTTTCATCTGAGCCCTTTGTATTTTTGGTTGGTTGACAAAATTCTTAGGATTGCTTAGAACAGGTGCCTTTCTGCAAATGGAAGGCCATTGAGTATAGGAAATCGGAATGTCAGGTAGTCTGGGTGGATTACTTTAGTTGAGATGTTCAGCTATCAGGGCAATATTCTTGGTTTGGGCTTGCTTATAGTCCTGATATTTTTTTCCTTTCAGTCGAAAATTTGCCCTTTTTGATGAACAGCATCGAGAAGAGATGCGAAAAGAACGGCGCAGGATTCAAGAGCAGCTGAGGCGCCTTAAGCGGAACCAGGAAAAGGAGAAACTTAAAGGTCCTCCTGAGAAGAAGCCCAAAAAAATGAAGGAACGTCCTGACCTAAAAGTAAGTACAATGTGGCGTGATCGTTACTGATAAAATAAAGGAAGAAAATATTCATCTTTTCTCTTACATTTTGGTGTCCTTCCTTACTGGTAATGAGGGCAGTAGTACAGAAAGGTAGTGTAATCGATGTGCTGTTAATACTGGTATGACTGGTACTCGCAACACCAAACCTTATCTGCTGCCATTGGGTGTCATTTTATACTCATCTATTGGAAATATTTTCTAGGAATTTGAGATTGGTTTAGTGGACTTCTATTTTCATATGTACATTTGTGTGTGTGTGTATACATACACATCTTGTTTGGTGGCACAGCGAATTAGGACACAGCACTGCAAGCTAGTTGCAGCTGCTTCAGTGCTGGTTCAATCCCCAGCCCGGGAGGTGATCCACATGGCGTGCAGACCTCTCCTGTCTTGCCTGCTGCTCCCCTCAGCAGTGTACTTCATTGATCTGCCTGTTCTGCTCCCCACTCTGTATGGTGAATCCTCTTGCTGCCTCTTCACCTCTGGTTGTATCCCAGTATTGTATGCATAAATAAATAATTTTTAATGTTTATTTTTACATCATTTTGTGCATTTTTCCATCTCAGTTGTAATCCCTGTGGGCTTCCCATCACCAAATCACCCATGTGCCATCACCATAGTCCAGTGCACTTCCCTCCCCCCACTGTTTTTGAACCCACTCCCCATTCCACCTCCATAAAATGTCTCTGGTGTATAGTTGTTCATTATTATTATTATTTTCTCCCCTGGCCTCTTATATTCCTGCAGTGAGTGAAACTATCGGTATTTTTTCTTTCCTTTCTGTCTTATTTCACTGAGCATGATCCCTTCCAGCTCCATCCATGTGGCTGCAAAAGGCATGAGTTGCTGAGTAATATTCCATTGTGTATATGGACCACATCTTTTTAATCCAGTCTTCTGTTTTTGGGCATTTAGGTTGATTCCATGTCTTCCCTATTGTAAATAGAGCAGCAGTAAACATGGGGGCGCAGGTGTCCATTTGAATCAATGTTTTTGTGTCCTTTGGGTATATACCTAGGAGTGGGATTGCTGGGTCATATTTCCTCATTTGATTTTTAAAGAAATGTCCAGTCTTTAGATTTCATTTTATTATTAATGTGTCATTTCCATGTGTTCAGTGGCTTCTTGTTGAAAGCAAAATTTCTGAGCCTTTGTTTCTCTCCTTGTATGTATTTCTTAAAATCACCATCATGCAGCCTGCTTACCACTGATGTGTTGTTGCTTTTCCTTTTGCAGCTGAAATGTGGGGCTTGTGGTGCCATTGGGCACATGAGGACAAACAAATTCTGTCCCCTCTATTATCAAACAAATGCTCCACCTTCCAACCCTGTTGCCATGACAGAGGAGCAAGAGGAGGAATTGGAAAAAACAGTCATTCATAATGATAATGAAGAGCTTATTAAAGTTGAAGGTACCAAGATTGTTCTGGGGAAACAGCTAATTGAGAGGTAAGGGATAGCTGGCGGGAAGTCCTGCCAGAGGCATCTGTTGGAGTTTGATGATATTGCTGGGTGGTAGGGGTGGATGTGGTGTGTTCTCTGAAGTGGATTTGAGAATATAAGAACTTTGATGCATTATTCTCAGTAATTGTTACCAATATATAATGAAAATTACAGCTTTTTTGATTAAATTATTCAAGTTCTACCTCTGGCCCTTTGGTATGCTGCCTAGCTTTCCTGACTCTCAGTTGTTTACAAAATAAAACCACCTTCAACCTGGGTAGTTGGACAGTTATGAAGGTAACATGAGAGGATACTATATAAAACACATAATGTGGGCCCTCCCTGGTGGCGCAGCAGGTTAAAGCACAGCACTAAGAAGCTAAAGCCACTTCAGCATGAGCTCAGTCCCACCACATGGTGGGATCACCACATGGTGATCCACATGGTGCAGTAGACCTCTCCTGACCCACCTGCTGCTCCCCCTCAGCAGTGTACTTCGTTGATCTCCCTGTTCTGCTCCCCACTCTGTATCTGGTGAATCCTCTTACCACCCCTGCACTTCTAGCCTGTACCCCAGTTCTGTATGCATAAATAAATAAATCTTAAAAAAAAACATGTAATACATTGCCTGGCATATAGTATCAATAGGTAGGTGCTTTTCCTATTCTATTTCCAGGCACTTGTAATATTTGTAATATTTCAGAGTGTTTACGGAACTGTTAACAAAATTAAGGAGACTTAAACTGTGTTTATAACTACCTATGTGTCGCTTGCCCTAACACATAATCAAATGGGAGAGGTTTTAAATTAAAAATTTTTTCCTTCTAACATTTTAGTTTGAAAATTATAAATTTGCAGAAAAGGTAACAGAGTAACACATAATATGGTTTCTAAATTCATCAGCTGATAACATTAATCTCATTAGTTTAATCTTTATTTATCTAAAACTTTTTTAATGTTTACTTTATTTATGCATACAGACCTGGGGTATAGGCCAGAGGTGAAGGGGGTGAGAGGACTCACCAAAGACAAGAGTGGGGAGAAGAACAGGCAGATGTACTGAAATACACTACTGAGGGGAGCAGCAGGTAGATCAGAAGTCTGCCACACCATGTGGATCACCTCCCTGGCCTGGGATTGAACTTATGCGGCAGTGGCTGCGGATAGCTTCATAGTGCTGCGTTTTAACCTGTTGCACCACCAGGTTACCAATATATAATGAAAATTATATATTGTTACCGATATATAATGAAAATTACAGCTTTTTTGATTAAATTATTCAAGTTCTACCTCTGGCCCTTTGGTATATCAATATTGAGTATATTTTTTCCCGAACCATTTGAAAATGAGTTTTAGGCATTATGAAATTTCACTAAAATCCTTTATTACACATATCTTAATACAAGGGTATAAAATGATACTATTAATGCACCTGAGAAAATTAACATTAATTCAGTGATACCTGATATTCAGTCTCAATATCCTTTATTGCCCTCCTCTCCCATTCAGGATATACATGTAATCCCAGTTTACACAAGTGTGTTAAGTTTTTTTTTTTTTTGGTAGAAGATTTATTTTATTTATGTATACAGGCTTGGAGTACAGGCCAGAGGTGCAGGTGCAAGGGTTGGGGTAAGAAGATTCACCAGAGACACTGGGGAGCAGAACAGGTAGATGGACTGAAATACATTCCTGAGGAGAGCAGTGGATGGGTCAGGAGAGGTCTCCCATGCCATGTGGGTCACCTCCTTGGCTTGGAATTGAACTTGTGCTTCAGAGGCTGCGATAGCCTCATAGTGCTAAGGTTTAACTGGTTATGCCACCAGGGAGGGCCCCTGTTAAGTCTCTCTTAATCTAGCTAGAACTGCCTCCGTAAGTTCTTCTTTTTTCATAATGAATTTTCTAAACTGTCTCAAAGTATTTTACATTCTGCTTTTTCTGATTATTTTTTTCTTTTGAGTATATTCAGCTTATTTTCTCATTGAGACTACCCACATTAAATCTTTGACAAGATTACTACATAGTTGATACATATTTACACCACTTCAGGAAGTATATAATGACAGGTTTGCTTACAGTTTTGATGGTTTGTTAAAGTGGTGATCTCCAAATCCCTCTATAATAAAGGTGTACTTTTCATTTTGAAATTAATATGTGGGTGACTCTCCTGTTCCCGAGCTATATTTTTCTTAGTAGTTTTAGCATCCACTGATGGTCGTTGCCTAATTCACTACATTGGAGGTTGCAAAACAGTAGTTTTCTAATTCTAGCATTCTTTCTACATTAATTAGCATTCTATAAAAGAGCTTTTTCTCCTTATTTGTTAGTATTGATTCTGGAATTCTTTCCTTTGTGAACCTACTGTGTTATAATTCATCAACATCATAATTAATTTTGACTACCATATTGTCCTAAATTTTGACTCCTTCAACACATATGCCCTTTTGAAATGGCCCTGTTAATATTTGAGAGCTTTTATTTTCTGGCCCAAGACATTTCAGGCTTTTGCTTGGAGAAGTACCTATATTTCTTCTGCCCATTTTTTGATTGGGTTGTTTTCTTTTTGTTGAGTTGTATGAGCTTTTCGTAGATCTTCATTATCAGTCCTTTATCAAATGTATGCTATGCAAATGTTTTTCCCCATTCAGTAGGGTGTCTTTTTGTTTTGGCTTACCCTTTAGCTGTACAGAAACTTTTTTCATTTGCTGCAGTCACAATTGTTTATGTACTCCTTTGTTTTCCTTGCTGCAGAAGGTGAATCTGCAAAGATGTTTCTCTGAAGTTTATGTCCTGGAGTGTTTAGCTTATGTTTTCTTCTATGTATTTTATGGTTTCAGACCTTACAATCAAGTCTTTTATCCATTTTGATTTGATTTTCATATATGGTGTGAGGTACTGGTCTAATTTCATTCTTTTGAGTGTGGCAGTTCAGTATTCCCTACACCATTTATTAAAGAAGCGTTCCTTGTTCCAGTGTATATACTTCACTTTTTTGTCATAGATTAGTTGTATGTTCAGTTCCTTTTTCAAACTTGGGATGCTTTTGTCCATTATTTCTTTAAATAATTTTTTTAAGTTCCCTTCTGTCTTCTCTTTCTGGGATGCCTATGATTCTAACATTTCCATTCCTTTCATGGTATCAGGTAATTCTCAGAGTGTTGCTTAATTTGTTTTTCTTTGTGTGTGTCTTTTTCTATCTGGATTTTTTCCTTATTTACATCTTCGATCTCAGTGATTCAAATGTCTGTTTATTTCTTTGGCTTTCTCAAATTTTTTGTATCCATTGACTTAAAGTTTGAATTTGGATTGTCTCTTCCTTGATTATGTTTCTCATAGCACTCATATGCTTTTCTGAGTTCTCTGTGCTGTTTTTCTGAGTTTTCTTTGTATTGTACCAATTCCTTGATTTTTTTTTTTAATCACAACAATATTGAATCATGTGTCTGATTGGGAAAAAGCTCTTCCATGTCTTTGTGGATTGGTTCTGGACATTTTCATATATTAATTTGGAGATCCATGAGTTCTTGCCCCATCTGAACCTTAGAATGGGGATACCTGATCTTTGGTTTGCCTTTTTCTTCCTCAGGTTTGTGCTTAGAAGTACTTTGGACTTTTTCATTGTAGTTGCACTTATTCTGGGGACTAGCAATAGGTGCTGTGTGCTATGACAGTATTATTGATTACAGTGCAGATGAGGTTCGTAGAAAATCTTTGGTGCTCAAGTTTCCTAAACAGCAACTTCCTCCCAAGAAGAAACGGCGAGTTGGAACCACTGTTCATTGTGACTATTTGAATGTGAGTATTATCTACATTGCTTCTTTCTGACTAGATTTGGTTCTCATTGATTCCCCAGTTCTGTAAACTGTGACTCTGATACAGCCTTAGATTCTTTCTTAAATACTGCCTTAAAAATTATGTCTGCTATTCACTACAAGATTTCTAAAGTCCACTTTTCCAGCTAGAAATTATTGTATATATTTAATCTAAAGAAGCATTCTGAAAAAAAGAAAAAGAAAAAGAAAAAAGAAACATTCTGAATTATTTTCCCTTGAAATAACATTGGTTTACAGTGTAGTTTGTGATTTAGAGTTATAGGATTTCCCCCTTTAGGTGATGTTACCATACCATACTAAACACTCATAGTCTACCACGTAGTCCATTGTGTTCCCATCCCACTTTGTTTCTCCCCTCTCCATCTTGCTCTGTAGCCTCATTTCAACAATATGTTAATGGTTTGGTTTTATTTAACTTTGTTTTGTTTTGTCTGTATTCTGTACTTGGTATTTGTCTTTTTCCTTCTAAATTACTTTGTTTAGCATAATCCCCTCCAGTCCCATCCATGTTGTTGCAAATGGTAAATGAATTTATCTCTCTCTCTTCATAGCTGAATGGTATAAACAAAAGGAGAAAAAGTTTGCTTTTTGATTTCTTATTTCTCCTTAGAGACCTCATAAGTCCATTCACCGGCGCCGGACCGATCCCATGGTGACATTGTCATCAATCTTAGAGTCTATCATCAATGACATGAGAGATCTTCCAAATGTGAGTTCATTGCATTCATGTCTACAATAGGGATGGCAAGGCCTTTTGTTCTGTCCTGTGATTTCAAATAGAGGGTAGAAGAATAAAATTCTAGTTACCTCAACTCCTGATTCTTTCGGTTGTAGTTTCTTTTTTTAAACAGTTTAATAGAGAAAACAGTCAAACCTGCTCCATATAGAAAGATTCCTTTGTTGATGGCCAAGTAGACAGAGAAGATGTGAGCATTTCAGTAATTCACTCTGGCAAATGTTCTTTGCTCATGGATAGTGTTTTTCTTGTTTGCACAGACATACCCTTTCCACACCCCAGTCAATGCAAAGGTTGTAAAAGACTACTACAAAATCATCACTAGACCAATGGACTTACAAACACTCCGTGAAAATGTGCGTAAACGCCTTTACCCATCTCGGGAAGAGTTCAGAGAACATTTGGAGCTAATTGTGAAAAATAGTGCAACCTACAATGGTAAGACTCATCTGATCCTTGACCACAAAAGTCACCTTTCAGATCCTTACTTATCTTTTATTAGTCCTAAATTCAGGCTAGTTTGGACTGACTTAACAGACCTATGATGTATTAGTACATTTCAGGGTTATGAAAATGTAGTGGTACACAACCTTTGCAGTCTTTGCCTTCTGTTTGCAATGTCCTTTCTTCCCTTTGAGTGGTGAATTCTCATTTGTATCTCCAGACCAACTCATGGTATATCTTCATGAAGACTTACTCAAATTTTCTGAAAGCATCTGTTTTTTCTGTTTTAGCTCCCTAGTACAATTAAATCCCACTTTTATAATTCTAATTACAAACCTTTGTAATATGACCTCTCCTGCCTTTCCAAGTTCCATTTCCTTTCTCTTCTCCACAAATACCTATACTCTAGCTGTGTGAAACCACTTATGGTTCCTGTTATAAAGTGTGCTCCTTCATGTTTCCATGAATTTATTTCTGTGACTTTTCATACTTTTCTTCCCTCTAGAATGTCTTTGTATGCTAATGTCTACCTGGTGGACTTCTTTTTATTAATAATACTTGTCAAATGTCAGTCACAATAAGTCTTCTTTATTTTTCAATACATAGATGCAAATTGTTGTAAGACAATTTATGATATGCAACCTCTTATTTCACAGCAATTAGTAAATTCCTCCTTTCCACTTACATTCACCTTTTGATGACTTTATCATTGGAAGTGCTAACATAAGAGTAAATAAACTTCAGTGTACCAGTTCACCTAGCTCAACAATTTTTCCAGCATATTTTCTTTATTCTATATTTCCAGACATAGCATTTCATTCATGAATTTCTTGAACGTTTACACTGTCTTTTAGTGATTTATTTTCTTGTTATTTTTTTGACTGAACTAAGAGCATCCTTGAACAGTCATTTAACATTTCTTTTTTTTTTTTTTTTAAAGATTTATTTATTTGTGCATACAGAACTGGGGTACAGGCCAGAGGCTCAGGGGCGGTGAGAGGCTTCACCAGAGACAGAGAGGGGAACAGAACAGGCAGATCGACGAAGTACACTGCTGAGGGGAGCAGCGGGTGGGTCAGGAGAGGTCTGCCACACCATGTGGTCACCTCCGGGGCAGGCGGGAATCGAACTCATGCGGAAGCGGCTTTAGATTCTCAGTGCTGTGCTTTAACCCACTGCGCCACCAGGGAGGGCCTAACATTTCTTTTTTTAAAGATTTATTTGTTTAGCATATAAGAACTGGAGTACAGACCAGAGATTCAGGGGTTGAGAGAATTCACCAGAGACTGAGGGGGGTCAAAAAGGAGGATTTACTGAAAAACAATGCTGGGGGGAGTAGTGGGCATACAGGAGAGGTCTGCTCAGCAACGTGGGTCAGCTCCCTGGCCAGATTTGAATCTGTGCTGCAGTGGCTGCGGATAGCTTCATAGTGCTGCTGTGCTTTAACCCCCTGTGCCAGCATGGAGGGCACTAACATTTCTTAAATGAGTAATTAGTAGCTGAAAATAAGAGTGGAGGGTTAGGCTCTGGGTTGCACTTACACAAATAATAGGAAGATGATAAAGCAAAGGAACCACCAGGAAGTCTCAAAGGATTGAGATTATTTTAAAACAAAGGCTTTGTATTAACCATACTTTGGGAACATATCACTTCACAGACATGAATTTTACAATCAAAAATTGATGCTACAAATTATATACATGCAAAGTGTACAAAGATTATAAGTCATGCATTACCTCCTTAACTGTTCTTAAATACATTTTTTTTATTTCTTTTCTTAACATATTTTTTTTTTTTAAGATTTATTTATTTATTTGTGCATACAGAAGTGGGGTACAGGCCAGAGGCTCAGGGGCGGTGAGAGGCTTCACCAGAGACAGAGTGGGGAGCAGAACAGGCAGATCTACGAAGTACACTGCTGAGGGGAGCAGCGGGCGGGTCAGGAGAGGTCTGGCTCGCCATGTGGTCTCCTCCGAGGCAGGCGGCAGGCGGGAATCGAACTCATGCGGAAGTGGCTTCAGATTCTCAGTACTGTGCTTTTAACCCGCTGCGCCACCAGGGAGGGCCACTTAACATATTTTTTATCCCCCATTCATAGTATCATTTTCAAAATATTAATGACACAGTATCAGCAGTAGTGTGACTATGTATGGATATATACAAATAAAGAAGAGAGTTAAAATTAGTTTCTTTCTCTGTATTGTCTGTCTACTGTGTTAGGCACTAGAAAACAGAGATAAGATAGCAGGTATGTCTGTCTAACTTAGCAAGTAAGCTGGTGCTTGGAATATGTTAAATACTTAAGTAAATGTGTTAAAGTTGTAGGTAGGTGTTGGCAACTTGTCTCTTATTTTTAATGATCTCATCTCATATTGTTCCTCTATAATTTAGGGCCGAAGCATTCATTGACCCAGATCTCTCAATCCATGCTGGATCTCTGTGATGAAAAGCTCAAAGAGGTAAGAAATTTAAAATGAAAGGAAGTCTGAAAATTCAGGGTAGCAGGTAGCAGATTTAAGGAAGTAGGGTATGTAATAGAAGGAAAAATAGACAGATGTAGGAATAGCTTATCAATCCCTTCCTTTTTGTAGATGCAGAAACTAAGCTTCATAGAATAAAATAATTTAACCTAGGCATCATTACTATTAGATAGTAGAGCTAAGATTGAAATTTAGAACTCACATAACTTTTTAGAAAGAGCCAAGCAAAATGATTTCCCAGAAAGTCAGCTGCAGCTTAGAGAATTGTCTTTGACTGGAATTTTAATTTCTAAAAGAAAATATGAATATGATAGTGATGTTAATATTGAAATAGACAATTCATGTGAGGGTAACCGAATGGGTGATGATTGGGGAGATGCATATTTAAACCAGGATTACATAGCATTACACACACACACACACACACACACACACACACACACACACACACACACAACCCAAAAAGGCTACAATTAAAAAGAATTAAAAAAAAAACACCCACAACTTTTTTGTGCCAGATTTCTTTCTTTATGCGTATGGAACTGGGGTATAGGCCAGAGATGCAGGGATGGTGAGAAAGGATCCACCAGAGACAGAGTGACAGAGTGGGGGGCAGAACAGATGGATTGACTGAAATAGGCTGCTGAGGGGAGCAGCAGGAGAGGTCTGCTGTGCTATGTGGGTCACCTCCCTGGCCAGGGATTAAACTGCTGAAGTGGCTTCAGGTAACTTTGTAGTGCTGCGCTTCAACCCGTTGCACCACTAGGAAGGGCCTGGAACACAAACTTTTTGTTACCCATTCTTAAATCACTTTTGGGGGTTGGATTCCCTTATCCAGAAAACAGTAGCAATTACAAATTATTTGTTAACTTTTCTTTTTTATATGCCTTGTTATTTTTTTCAAGTTTCATTGATGTTGCCAAAGCTTTCACCAGTTTACATAACTGTATCAATTTAGAAATTAAAAAATCACATCTTGTGGCCTCCCTGGTGGTGCAGGGATTAAAGTCTCAGTGCTATCTAACTATCACTAGCCACTGTGGCATGAGTTCAATCTGTATTTTAGTTGATCTGTCTTTTCTGCTCCCTGTCTGTCTCCAGTGAATCCTTTCATTCTCCCCTCCTCCCTCCCACCCCCACACACATACACTTCTGGCCTAAACCCCAGTTCTTGTATACATAAGTAAAAGTAAACCTTTTTTTTTTAAAGGAAGTACTGTATAATTGAGCAATACTACTTCTAGTTATTTACCCAACAAGTATAAAAACTTACACAAAAAGATTTATACACTCCTATGTTCACAGCAGTATTATTCATATCAGCCAAGTGATGGGAACAACCTAAATGCCACTAGCAGATGACTAGATAAAGAAATTGTGGAATAAATAATCAGTGGAAAACTACTATTAAAAAAAAAAGATCAAATAGTGCCTTTTGGTACAAAATGAATGGATCTTGAGTAATGCAAAGTGAAATAAGTCAAAGTAAATGACTATATGGTTTCACTCATTTGCAGCATATGAAAAATTGAAGAACAGAAGCTTCACAGCAAAAATAATTCTTAGACTGAAAAATACACTAGTTACCAGAAGGCATGGGGGAGGGTTGTGAAGGAGGGGTTAGGGGAATTGAGTTATTGGGTATTGGCACTGAAGCTTTAATGGAGGATGAGTAAAGCATGTGCATATACAGAAATGTGACTTTTAAAAATATTACTTATTTATGTATACAAGAACTGGAGTCTAGGCCAGAGGTTCAGAGGGTGAGAGGATTTGCCAGAGACAGAATTGGGAGCAAAACAGGCAGATGGGCTAAAATACACTGCTGAGGGGAGCAGCAGGAGAGACAGAACAGGTCTGCTGTACCATGTGGGTCAACTCCCTGCATGGGGATCAAACTCATGTTGCAATATCTGGATTGATAGTGCTGAGACTTCAACCCCTTACCACCAGGGAGGCCCATCATGTATCTTTAATTGCTGAGTTCAGACCATTCATGTTTAAAGTGATTGTTAATAAATGAGTCTTATTTATTGCTAGTATAACTTTTGTTTCCTTGTTTCTTTTCTCATTTCTGCTTTTTCACTTAACATGGTTTTCCCTGGTAGTTTTCTGAGTTCCTTTATTTCTTCTTCTAAGTGTCGGTATTCTAGAATTTTGTTTTGTTACCACAGTGGTTGTATGAAGTTTTCTATTATCTAAAACAGTCTTTTTGTGCTGGTATCAATGCTGCTTTATTTGATTATACAGATTTTTTTTCCTACCTGTTATTGTTGTTGTCTTATGTTATTCTTGTTCATACTTATGATTATATGCATTACTAGTAGTCCTTTTGCTCGAGGATTTGTGTTCTTTTTCAAGTCCTTTCAACTTTCCTCGTAAGGGTAGGTCTTGTGGTGGAAAACTCCATTGCTTTTTTTGTCTGTAAAAGCCTTTATTTTTGTGTCACATTTGAATGATCATTTTGCAGGATAACATATTCTTGGCTGACAGGTTTTGTCTTTTATAATTCTAAATATGTGATTCCATTCTCTCTTCCCTTGAAAGTACCTGTTGAGAAATCTGATGAACAACTGATTAGGATGCTTTTACATGTTACATTCTTTGTTTCCTTAGCAGCTTTAATACTTTATTGCTTATCTTGATGGCAATTTAACAATGATGTGCCTTGATGAAGGATGTTTTGCATTTAGAAATTTGTTGTTTTTTTTTATTTTTGGTTTGCTTTTTTTGTCTTCCTGACATCCACGTGTAATTCTTTCCTTGGTTTTTGGAAGATCTTAGCAAATACTACTTTGAATAATGTCTCTGCCGCCTTCTCTCTCTCTCTTTACCTTCTGGAATACCATTGTTTCTTATATTTTGCATATTTGTTCTCACCTCATTTAGCATCTTCTAATGTTAGTTCAAAATCTGCAATCTCTTTTGTTAAGAACTCTGAGATCGGGAACCTGCCTTTCCAAATCAAGCTTCATCGAGCTTTTCTTATGATGATGATTCTAAAATTTCTGTTAAGTCCTCAAATTCTGACTTTTATTATGGAGATCTCTGTCTTGTATTTTTTTAAAACTTATTTATGCATATAAGACCTGGAGTACAGGCCAGAGATACAGGGGTTGAGAGAATTTACCAGAGACAGAGTAGGGAACAGGAAAGGCAGATGGACTGAAATACACTGCTGAGGGGAGCAGCCGGTGAGGAGGAAGAGTTCTGCTGTGCCATGTGGGTCACCTCCCTGGCTGGGGATTGAATTCATGCTGTGGTATCTGTGGATAGCTTCATAGTGCTGCGCTTTAACCCTTGTACCACCAGTGTGGCCCTTTGTCTTGTATTATTTCAGTTTTTCCATCTTAAGCTCAGGTGTCCCTTGATTCCTGTGCATGTGTGTTGCCTTGCTTTGGTTAACACTGTCTTTAGTTTTATTTCTTTAACTTATGAGCAGATGAGAGAGGGTGGGAAGTTGGAGTCTGCAGACTTGGTGTAAGTAATCTTGGTGTCATTCTACAGTCTTTTTGGAGAGCAAAGGCGGAGAGATTTACTTTGCCTCCTCTTCTCTTTCTCCAGAGCTTCTCTTTCTCTCACTGCTTCATATGGCCTAAATTCCAGAGCCCAGCATCCTTTCTTTTCCTGATACGGTCTCTTTCTCATCTCCCAGTGGGGAGGTGGTAAAGGTGTGCCCCTGATTGTCTCTGACTGAACAACTGTTTCTAGCACTCTAGTATTGGTAGATGCTCCCCTAACTGTAGAGATTCTCTGAAAATTCACCTCTCCCCATCTGTGCTCCACTCTCTGTGTCTCATCTCCAGTTAGTTCCATTAATTGGGATGTCTCCTGCCCTTGCTGCCTTCCCTTTGCTCCTCACTGTTCTGCCCCTACAGTTTACTGCCAATCTCAGTACAATATATCTGTATGTCAGAGTCTTGCTGCTGGTGATGAACTGATAAAATTTTCTGTAAGCAAAATGTAGTTTTTCCTAGTTGTACTAAGAAGTTCATAAAAAAATTCCCTGTTCAGCCATCTTGTACATCTTTAACTTTTCTATGGTGATCACACCTCAGCGAAAGCTGTATCTTTTCTTTGTTTAATTTCAGAAAGAAGACAAATTGGCTCGTTTAGAGAAAGCTATCAATCCTTTGCTGGATGATGATGATCAAGTGGCATTTTCTTTCATTTTGGACAACATTGTCACCCAGAAAATGATGGCAGTTCCAGATGTAAGTGGTTTCTGTGCTGAATTTTGTGAGAATGGTAAAAAGGAAAGGAAAGGACTATAGGATGTTTGTATAAATGTATCTTGGGGACTCTGGAAGAGAGAGTACTTGTTAATTCATTCTGGTATATTGTTTTAGAAACCAGCCTTTTTGTTGCTAGTGCATAATGGAAATCAGAGATGCCGGGATGTTGTGTAATCATGACATAGTCCACATTAGAGTTTGGATTCAGAGCTTCTTAACAAATTGCAGTTTGGTCATTACATTTGTTCCAGGGCTATGTTGATTTTATGTAACATTTTTTGAGTGATCTTCATTTTTTCTGAGTTGTTTCTTTTTGTTGCTTTCCTATTACACAAAAGGAAAATATGTTGTATATGTGTAATGCTTTTATACTGCCTGTGAATGGAACTAGGCAGTAGGCATTGTACTTGTTAGTATAGACAGATCCCTACTCTATTACAGCATAGAAACTTTTAATGGAATTCATTGACCACTTAAGTTACATAGAAAGTTTTATATCATTATGCACATCTTGGAAAATGGTTCTCCATAGCTTTTTCTCAGTCTTTTCGATTAACCCAATGAAGTTGAGAATCTGTGATATGAAGAATGGTTTCCATTTAATGTCTTATGCTTTCTTTATTCTAGTCTTGGCCATTTCATCACCCAGTTAATAAGAAGTTTGTTCCAGATTATTACAAGGTGATTGTCAGTCCAATGGATTTAGAGACTATACGTAAGGTGAGTCATTTGATCTAAAATATAGTCTTTCTAGTGTCAAGTAATTTTATTCTGTGTATCTGAGTTCCTGATTCTTTTAATCACAGAATATCTCCAAGCACAAATATCAGAGTCGGGAGAGCTTTCTAGATGATGTCAACCTAATTCTGGCCAACAGTGTTAAGTACAATGGTGGGTATTCCTCCTTGTCCTCACCTCTCTCTACATCAGTCCAACATCAGTTAGCATTATTAATATTTAAATTCATATAACATCATTGAGCATGATACAATCAGTAGAACCAGTCAAGTGATTTAATTTGCATTTTTAAAAAAATGGGCACTTAATTTTAGTATACTGTTTCCTATAAGATTGAGAACTCATTATACCCTAGGCCCTACAGAAATGTATGACTATAGACAGTGGGAAACTTCCACAGAACCTCGAGTTTTTGATCAGTATGTGGACTGATTTGATAATGTATGCCAGGTTTTGTGCTAGCTACACTTAATATACTAATAGAAAAGACATGGTCACTGTTCTCAAATAATGCAAACTCTAGTTAATGGGAAAGTTAAAATGTAGCACGACGAGGACTATATTAGAAGGATATATACATACATACACAAAGTGCACTAGAGAAGAGGAAGGAGCATTTTCACCTAAGGTTTAGGGAAGGCTTCATAAACATTCTAATAAAGTTCAGTTTTAGCTGATTCAACTGTTAATAAGCATTGATTGACCACCGAATGTGTGTTGCCATTGATAGATGCTACAGATATAAAACCAAATTAAATAGGGTCCCTGTCCCCAAATTGGTTATAGTTTAGTTGGGGAAACAAAATAAAAATTGAGCCCTGAAATTACTTTATAAGCTTAAGAAATAAGTTGCTGGGGTTGTAGCACATGTATGACTCATAATACATAGAGAAGTAGACAGGAGTCAAATTCTAGAGGGCCTGTGTGCCATATGCCATACTTAACATTGCCATCCATGGGAAGACATTGGAGGAATGAAGCAGTGAAATGATAACCCCATATAGCTATTTAAGCAAAACACAAGAGAGACCTAAGGATGTTTGATAGAATTGCCAGCAACTAAAATCTCAAATAAAAATATACATAATTGTATGGCTTTTCTGTAATAGTGTCCAGTAGCCCAAGTAATGTGGCGATAAGTTTGCCAGATAGTAGAGAGGGAGACAGAAACCAGAAAGAAAGATGAGTGAATGAACATTCTGGGCAGAGAGAACAGAATGTTCAATATGGAGGAATAGAAAAATGGGGGCAAGTTCAAAGGAACTTTACTTGACTAGAGCCTGTATATTTTACTAAAGGATGTGGTAAGAGATGAGCCCTTTAGTTTTGCTTCATTTCATTTGTATTAAAAGAATCTACTTCCTCTCTTGTGCTTTTCTTTTTTGCTCATTGGAAATTAAAGAGTGGAAATGGCTTTTGTCAGGTCAGCAATCTTTTCATGGTTGTCTTCTAAAAAGATCTAAAGCTGATGGGTCAGTAGTCTGATAATAGAAGTATTGGTGGAGTCAGAGATACCTAAAAAATTATTATAGGCAGTAATAAGCATATTATGGAGAGGATGTTCTGTCTGGTGATGACTGACTGACTTTAAAAAATTCAGGGCAGATTGTTTTTAGTAGGATAGTAAGAAAAATCCTGAAGTTGTTAATTGAAAAATATGGCAGGGCCCTCCCTGGTGGCATACCCAGTTAAAGCACAGCACTGAGAAGCTAAAGCTACTTCAGCATGAGTTCGATCCCCGCCCATCCCGGAGGTGATCCACATGGCGCAGCAGACCTCTCCTGGCCCGCCCATTGCTCCCCTCAGCAGTGTACTTTGTCAGTCGGCCAGTTCTGCTCCCCACTCTGTCTCTGGTGAATCCTCTCACCATCCCTACACCTGTGGCCTGTATCCCAGTTCCTGTATACATAAATAAATCTTTAAAAAATTTTTCTTCTAATTGAGGTAACTGTTTTATAATGTTGTTTGCTGTATAGAGATATCGGATCCACCCCTAAAGGTGTTGATACCAAAAAAAAAAAAAAAGGTGTTGCTACCACACCATACCCACCACCAAAATACTTGTAGTCCTTTATTGTAGTCCAGTGTGCTCCCTCCCTGCTTTTTTTGTCTCCCTACTCCTTCTCACTTTGGTAGCCTCGATTCTACACTTAGATTTCTAGAACTTGTTACTGGCTTGTCTTTATTTGAATTTGCTTTGTGTCTTTGTATCCTAAATATTAGGTGACATCATTTGGTGTTTGCCTTTCTCCTAATTTATTTCATTGAGCATAATCTCCTCCAGTTCCATTCATGTTGACACAGATATGGAAAGTTTTATACTTTCCTTATTGTGTATATATATACACTATTTTCCTGATCCACTCATCTGTTTTTCAGTACTTCGTTTGTTTCCATAGGTTGACGGTTGTAAATAATGCTGATTAAAATGAAATGGTAGTGCATACATTCCTTTGGATTAGTGTTTTTGTATTTTTCAGGTAGGTACCTGGGAGTGGAATTCCTGTGTCATATTGTAAATCCATTTTTTAATATTCTGAGAAACCTTAATACTGTTTTCCATAGGGTTATTATACTTTAAATTTAACTTCATCAGATTCTTATCCTAAGAAGATGTGTACCTAGTGTTACTAGGTATCTTAATTTTTCAAAAGAAGCTGAAATTCTGAACTTATTTTTGTGTGTGACAGTTCTTAATTTTACATATGTGCAAGTAAGTAATTTTTTTAAATTAACTCTGTAAGTTAAATAAAAGCATCTCTCTGCAAGCCAAATCTGGCACCCAGGCAACTGGTTTTCAAACTTTGACCTAGTAGAGAACTAGTCTCAAAGTAGGAGGAATTTTTTTTTAAGATTCATTTTTTATTTATGTATACAATAACTGGGGTACAGGCCAGAGGTTCAGGAGGGTGAGAGGATTCACCAGAGACAGAGTGGGGAGCAGAATAGGAAGATTAAATGACACATACTGCAGAGGGGAGCAGCACATAATGCAGGTCACTTCCTTGGCCAGGGATTGAACTTGTGCTGTCCTGGCTGCAGAGAGCTTCATAGTGTTGTGCTTTAACCCATTGTGCCACCAGGGAGGGCCTTCTTTTTTTAAATTTATATATTATTTTACATCATTTGTCATTCCCTCAGGTATAATCTTCATAAAATTACCACCACGAAGACACTGAACCATGATCATAGTCTGTTGTGCTTTTCCTTCCCCTGTTGTGATCCCATTCCCTCCCACTCCATAGCTGATGTTACCTATTTGTAGTGTGCCTGCTAGTTTTGTCTTTTTTTCCTGATCCCTTAATTTGGTTTCCCTATGTTTCTCCTGTAAGTGAAACCATCCGATATTTTTCTCTTTCCTTCTGACATAGCTCATTTCCTTCTGACATAGCTCATTGAGCATAATCCATCCATTTCAGCTCCATCATGTTGCTGCAAATGGCATGAGTAGCCTTTTTTTATTGCTGAATAGTATCATTATGTACATACACCACATCTTCATGATCCAGTCATGTGTTTTGGGGCACTTAGGTCATTTCCATATCTTAGCTATTGTATGTACAGCATGCTGCAGCAAAAAAAGGCATACAGGTATCATTTTGAATTAATGCTTTTGTGACCTTGGGTACCCAAGTCCTAGGAATGGTAACTCCGTTTTTTAGTAGTTTGAGGAACTTCTACATAGCTTTCCATAGTATTTGGACCAATTTGCATTCCCACCAGCAGTCCAGCAGTATGGGAGGGTTCCTTTTTTTCCACATCCTAGAAAACATTTATTGTTGCCAGTTTTTTTTTTTTTTTTTAAATATGTGCCTTTCTCACAGGTATAAGGTAGTATCTCGTTGTGAATGTGATTTGCAGTTCCCTGGTTATAGGTGAGGTTGAACATTTTTTGATATGCCTGTTGGCCATTTGTATTTCCTTTTTAGAAAAGTGTCTTTTTAGCTGTTGTGCCCATTTAAAAAAAAAATATATATATAATAGTTTATTTTTACATCATTTTGTGCATTTTTCCATCTTAGCTGTAATCCCCATGGGCTTCCCATCACCAAATCACCTGTGTGCCATCACCATAGTCCAGTGCATTTCCCTGCCCTCATTGTTTTTGATTCCATTTCCCACTCCACTCCTTAAAATGTCTCTGGTATATAGCTATTCATTATTATTATTTTCTCGCCTGGTCCATTATATTCCTGCTATGAGTGAAACCATCAGTATTTTTCCTTTTCTTTCTGGCTTATTTCACTAAGCATGATCTTCTCCAGCTCCATCCATGTTGCTGCAAAAGGCATGTGTGTGTGTTTTTAAATTGCTGAGTAATATTTCATTGTGTATATGTACATCTTTTTAATCCAGTCATCCACTTTGGGGTGTTGTGCCCATTTTTTTACCGGAATGTTTGCTTTGCTTTTGTTGAATTCTGTGAGTTCTTCGTAGATCTTTGTGATCAGTCCCTTATCAGCTGTATGAAGTGCGAAAATTTTCTCCCATTCGGTGTGGTATGTCTTTATTTTGGTTATTGTCTCCTTTGCTGTACAGAAGCTTTTTAGTTTGATGTAATCCTAGCTTTTTATTTTTTCCTTTACACTCTTTGCTTTCAGGGATGAGTCTTTAAAAATGTTTCTGAGATGTGTGTCATGGAGTATTTGCCTGTGTTTTCTTATATATGTTTTATGGTTTCGGAGCCTATGTTCAAGTTCTTTTATCCATTTTGAGTTGATTTTTGTGATTTTGTGTGGTAGTAATACACTCTTCAGCATGTGGTGGTACAGTTTTCCCAGCACCACTTACTGAACAGGTGGTCCTTGTTCCATTGGGTATTCTTTGCCCCTTTGTCATAGATTAGTTGCCCATGTATGTGTAACTTTAATTTTGACTTTTCAATTCAGTTTTGTTGGTCTGTATGTCTGTTTTTGTTCCAGTACCTTGCTGTTTTAATTATTATGCCTTTGAAATATAGTTTGAAGTCTGGGAGTGTGATAACCACTGTTCTCTCTTTTTAATCAGGAGCACTTTGGCTAATCTAAGGTTTTTGTTATTTCACATGAATTTTATCATTGTTCTATTTCTTTGAAGAATGCCATTGAGTTTAATTTTTTTGCTATAACTGTAAATGGGATTTAAAAAAATTTCTGCAGTTAGATCATTTGCAT